CGGCAAAAAATGATGAAAAATGTGCATTTTTTCATTAAAAAATAAGGGGTAGAGGTAACTAAAATCGCATTTTTGAGTAAAATGAATAAGTTTAAGACAGTTTACTTCCATAGTTTCAAAGAAAATAATATTTCTATCAATTCTACAAACATTCATACATATCTAATAACACACTTGGAAGAAGTTGTATGAATTTGTTCTGCAAATGGTCAAAACCCGAAAATTCACCTAAAATCACATACTGTATTAAATTGGTATCTTTGACCGATCATAGCACAAAAACGAACACACCGACATATAGTGTTTTTTTGCATTTTCTACTTTGCCATTATCTCCTTTTTCCAAAAATCAATATAGGAAAAAAAGTTTTATACAGGATTTTTTTGACTTCTCAGACGTGTACATCCTTAAAGAAAAAATTACACGGTATAATTACATAATTTCATTTTTCGAAACCGAATAACAAAACTGTGTTGTTTTGTATTAAAACTAAACCAGAGTTCGATCTGTACACAAAACTATAAGTTTCCTAAACAACGTATACAGTTTTAGACTATTATATCTATTACAAAATAGCATTTGATAAACAATTTAAAACATAAATGCGAGAGGATATTCTTTTTAGTTCATTTCGTCAAAATGTATTTTGTATTGAAATGTTGTAAATCGTGTATGCTTACAAATTATTAATCGAGGTAAAATTGCTTTAATTGCAAAAAAAATAAAAAAAAATACGACAGGTATGCCAATCTTCTAATAATATGGAACACGAAGACATAGAAACGTTCGGAAGTCCTACGCCTATAAGGTCGTCCAGTCACCGAACAACATGTAAGGTCTAAATAATCATGGGAAAGTTAAATACGTTGTTGTTCCGAATAAATTGTTTTCATAAGTCAGGGATACTCACCTGATTTATATGTCTCTTTGTATATTTATAATTGTAGCATTGATAGAAATATCATCACTTCAATGTTTTCCCTAATACCCAATACTTAATACTTTGAAAACCTGTTTGTTGTAACCTGTCTTCTTAATGTAAAATCATTTGTATTGAGATAACCTGTTAAACACTTGTATGTTTTAAACAAGATGCATTTTTCATTGGCTTAAGAAATTGTTAAAATAAAAATATTTTATAGGTACTTTTATAAAATGTTTTGTTCAAAACATGAATTATAATAAGTTGTATTTGTACATTGATGAATATCTCCAGACATAACATAGATTGACTGTTCAATCCTTGTAGTAAATAGTACTAAGCATCGGCCTGTTTAAGTTAAAGTAAAGATGAAGTTGAATAAACAAGTCACAATTAACAGTACAGTTTGCACACGTATACACAAGGTGGGTTTATGTTTTTTCATGCCCTCCAGAAATACACTAATTTTGACAAAGGAAAACGTAATGTAATAACGTGATTAACGTATTTGTCAAATGTGTAATGTTAGAGATATCGGAGACCACATTAAAATGTCTATGACATTTCAGTTAGAACTCCAGTATACCTCTGTTACTATGATACAAGTGTATTAATGTAGGTTTTTGAAAACGACAAATCGTAATCATATAAAATACATGTCGGGAAATTCTAAAAGCATACAGTGTGTTCCTCCATTCCTCTGATATCATTGTGTTGATTTATCGAATAAAACAATTTTTAAATTGAATTATTCCACTATTTTTACACATACAAAATAAAGCTATCTTCTGTGTTTACATGTTTAATGAAATGTGAATTCGCTATTTCAATTAAGATTGATTAAGATTTTTTAAAAATCGAGTTTTGACACAAGCATTTGTTTACATTCAGAGATCTGCAGACCTATCAACAACGGTGTTAGTTTTCTAAATATTTTATTGACAAATCCAATTAACTCTGGTCAATATGTCATAACACACCTAGTACATGTTCAGGTTTTGACACTAACGAACGATTTACGATTATGTGCAATATTTTAATATCTCTGTGACTTATTTTTTTTTATTAAACTAGGATTAATATTATTATTTAAGTAACAGATCATATTTAGTTTAATTTCTTGACACTAACGAACCACAACCACGTGTGGCGATAACAGAACTACAATAAAGTGTTAACAAATCTAGAAAACTTGATATCAAATTTCATAAATCCCTAGATTTGTACGTCTTAGGTGTTTGACACTAACGAAGGATACCTACCTATAAACTGAAGTGTTAATATTTGAATTCTTACCTGTACTGATTACGGTATCTACCTGAGAAGATAACTGATCAGTCGTAACAGGTACATGTGCGTGACACTAACGAACGTTTTACACGCGCCGGACACCCGGAGTGACCACTCGTGGCACCCTGACCACGCACGCAAACTGACCACTGGCTTATAATGGGTAAACAATGAGGTATAATTTGGACTAAAGGGGAACAATTTGTGAGATTATCCCAGTGATTGGTGTGTGTAAGCCCTTGACACCTCCGAATGACACCTGCCTGTTTACCTGTAGTTTACCTGTAACAGGTACATGTTTACCTGACCAGATCCGGCCGTGTCTAAACATTCAATAAAACGGATAGACTAATGCGCTCAATTCCAAAAACAACATTTAGAAACACAATGAAAGCCAATCAAATGAGAACATTTTTGTAAAAAATATATATCATCTTTATAGAACAAAGCGTTTTTAAAAACATTTTCGTATCATACATGAACGATCAAAATTTTAGTTGATTCTAGGGGTCAACCGTAACGCTGTTTACCGCAATACTGTTTGAACAATACAGCCCCTTTCATTAAACGTACTTAGAAGCGGTATTCTTCTCCTATAGGTTATAAATGCACATTAACAAAGACACTGTTAATGTTTCAGTAAATTAATATGCATATATTGACACATAATATGCCAATGAGATTTAAAAACGTGTGTTAATTATGTGACAATAACACGTCTGAAGCTTCTAATACAGTGTGATAGCACTGACATAGCCAGGGAAGAGAAATTATTTACGTTTATAATGTCACCAACTTTGGGAGTCTGGATTGGTCCCCAGAGTCTGTCTACTTTCTGTCGATACATGTCGGTCCCAGAAGTAGGTGTGGACCCGTTAAAATATTAATCAATGTATTGTAAATCTAAAACGTAGAATATATTTTACAGGTACACTTATAAATACAACATTGAAGTTCAAAATTAACTTTGAATAGAATTTACGATAAGATTCACGAGCTTGTTTTGCCAACCATTATTTCACCTAAATTTGTATTTATGCTATTTATGATACTAAATAAATGTTGTTTAATATAATGAGTGAACTATCGTATTTAAAGTTCAAAAAGGATTGTACCCATTTTCTGACATAAAATTCTTCGTCCAGTCGATTTAGGTAAATCGTCCCATATGGTACACTGTTTTCATCACCAGCTCCTTCCTCTCGTCCTCGTCGTTGCAACTTCAGTACTTCTCTTTTTCTTTACATACATGTACATTTCATTCCCCCTCTTCGTAATCAATGTTACAATGTCTATCCACCCCTTGCCTTGGTTCTTTATCAATTTTCTTGTTGCGATCTCCAGTGGTTTTTCACAAACCCTTCCTCTCTTCCTCTGCCTCTTTACACTCTCCCATCCCCATCTCTGTCTCTCTCTCTGTCTTTATCATCCTCCTTTTCTTATTCCTTTTACTTCCTTAGTATCACCTATTTCCCGACTTACTTCCCCTACATTTTCATTTTTATTTTGTCCCTGTCCGGTTTTTCCGCTCCCCTTCTCCCTCTCCCCAGATATCGTTTCAGTAGATCTATAGTCTCTACCTCCTCTCATTTCTCACATGTTAATATCTATATTTACCTCTCTGAACTGTAAAATTACTCTCCATTTTCTTATGAGACTGTTCAAAGTTGTATACAATCCACATTAGTTAAAAACGGGGTATATAATTCACCCCAATACATATATATACAGATTTCCCCCCTTTACAAAAGTGTATGCAATTTACCGGATTGTAAAATTGTCGCATTCGTCTGTCAAAACGCATTGACAGTAGTCTATGTAGGACCAGTCGGAAATATCATTCAACGTTATAACCAAAAAAAATGTGATTGGTACAGGTAACAGCAGACAATTCAGTCCCGTTTACAGAAGAAAGAAGTCTAAGTAATCGGGATTAGATTGAAAACCAAATCCCGGCCGTATTGTAAATTTTTTAATTTCTCTGTTAAATCTTGATTATCACATTATTTTACGTGTCGATGTTGCTCGTATTTCAATGCTTTGAAAAGTCGTTTTGATTGTTCAGTGTTCTCAATGCAATGATACCAATGTAACTTTCAAGTTTGCGAAACGTTTTAGCTTACCGTAATCGTTGTTACTTCAGAAATTAATATGACAGTTTCAAGTTGGACAAACATTATGAATTCATTAGTTTATTGACCTCAAAGGTTGTTTAAAAAAATCACCAAATTGGAATATCGGTAATGTTTTTTCCCCCTAAAATTTAAATGTCCATAATTGCATCAAACTATATCACGCGTAATGAATCTTAATCTGTTATGCTTAAAACCAAATACAGTGTGTAAATAATTATTCAACGTTGATTTTCGCCTTTTAGTTCTCAGTGTTTTTGTTTTCGGTATGTTTGCTTTTTGGGTATTTTCTCCTGTTAAGATGGATCAGCCTTTCTATGTTTCAAATATAAACGATCACAAATCAGCTCCGTCGATGTGATTTAAACTTACACTACACAACACAGTACGGGTCTGTCCTGATCCCTCCCTTACCGCTAATAAGGCTAGATACACGGCTTTTGACCACGCCCCCTTACAAATTATCGACTCATTATTCCGGCGTTGAGCGTGATTGAAGTATAGGTTAATCTATTAGGTGTCCAAGCTTCCCACTGTTTACAATACAACCAACAGCCAATGAAATCTCTCCTTGTCATAAAGCTGTCGACAGTTTTTAAATAATTGGTTAAATAGAAAAGAAGAAAATATTGTTACAATCTGTAAGATCTCTTTAGTTCCTGATAGAAGGTACCATTTGGCGTGTGACGTTTGCTGTCTCAATAATAAGCTACATAGGTTACACTTGTGTATTTAAACTGAGTTTTTTAAACAGAAAGGTTTACTCTGTATGACATGCTCGGGGACATTTAAACCTGACCCATTCGTAAGGTGAATTTAAGTGGACGCTCCGTACTGCACCTAAACTGCGAACATTTACTACTTAAAGATGAATTCCATTCCTCGGAACTCCGGATCCCCTCCTCGGATACTGACTCCTCCCAAGAACAGGAAGTCGTTTAGTGTGGACAGTATACTGGGCCGGGAATCAGAAAGATCTTCTCCGGATATCAATATGTCTGAACACTTAACTCAAATGAGAGGTAAGTTTTCAAAAGGAAACGTGTTCAATTCTTTGATTGGAGTTTTCATAATTGTATGTTACATAGTAAAATTTATAAAAATCAAACAGTGTACTGAATACTATAATATGCATTGTTTTTACACATAACACGGTAAATGTTACGTCTTTAATTTCACAATTCAAGCATCCAGTTTTTTTCTTCGAAGTAAAGAGGTACATATATGAAGTAAAAGGGATGTAATCATATAAACACGATATCTTTGCAATTTTCGTATTTATTCATTCAAGAAAAGTCTTTTTCAAACATTCTGCTGATAAAAACTTGGGAATCTAACCTAGTGTTTCTGTTTAGGTTTCTCTCACTAAATCACGGTCATGTTTATTATTACATTTTCTTTTCTAATTATATTTCAACCCTTTTGTCAAAATATAATTATATTTATTGCCTTTTTGTTATAAAATTACTAATGCATCAATATATATACACATAGAAATTGTTATTTTATTTATACTGATGCAATTCCTTTCGTATTCTATCAAGGGTATATTGCTTTAACACAAAACATAATTAACAACCAGCATATATAAACAATATAAAAAATTAAATACGTGCCTATGTTCATTTCTTTCAGATTAAATTTGAGGTGTAAGATACAATACATATGTATATGTTTATCGAACTCAAACAAACTAATTGGCTATTACGGTGTAAAAATATCTCTTGTTCTTTAAGTCGAAACAGTTGCTAAGATGGACGTCTATGTCGTAATTTCATTTCATATCTTCAATAAACCATTTTACTAGCTGTGATATTATATACCGCTCGGTTTCTTTTAAACAATACACCGTGAAGGATCATAAACCAGTAGTGTTTTCTGATATAAATACTTAAGGTTCTAACATCAAACCGAATACTCGATTTTTTATGAGTATTTAGTAAAACAAATATTGGTAACGGATATAACAAATGTCTTAATGTTTTAAGTAAACCAAAACATTACTTTACTACATTGTTTGTATATTTTGTCCTGACTCACAACTTACATTTAAAGATGTATTTTATATCAACATTTTCCGCAATATAAAGTAGAAGGCACAATTCGAATTCTCAATGTCTGAGCAAAAATTTAATTTTCGACTTCCAGGTTTATTTTGTTTCAATGATAATACAAGAGATCCAACGATGGTGGTTGGACTCTATAGTTAAGATCGACAGGAATTGCATCGACAACACGTATCGTCGACAGTAACGACCGCATTGCTAAACAAGTCTTTTCCTTAAGAATGTGATAAGCAACGGGATACAAAACTTTTGAATAGTTCTATTCACCTTTCACCGATATGGCTTGAGTAACAAACAAAGGTCAAAATTTTGAGTGCTACCTTGTAGATGTTTTCTTAGTGGTACAGCTACTGAATATTTTAAAACAATTATTATAGAATCATAGCCATGCATTTAAATAAAATACTTATATAGATAAAGTGTGATAAAGTAATTGGTACCTCTAACGAGCGTGTTCCCCTGAGCTGAGTGGTTGGTATATATTAGAAGTAGTTATTACACGTACCATGAGTTTCTATTCTTTTACTTATTGTGTGTACTACATCATTTCTTATTGAATTAATCTCCTGCTCGTAGAAGTAAGTTAATGAAATGAAATATACAAATCACGCAGTCTCAGTTAATACGACAATCAGAGAAAAAGAGGGGACACCAAATAAAATAATGTCTTAAGCCTTGCGAAACTCGTAAACAAATAAAATGGCAAATTTGCTTTTTTTAGATGAAATTGGGATTTCTTTATATATTTTTGGTAAGAGTCCTTCTTGTGGTACCATAATATAATGGTTGTGAGATTGATGTCAGAGATATATTTAGTGTTATTTATCATTTATTCCCTGACCGTGTATATTCAATTTTATAATTTGATCTATTCAGCGTCACCAGTATGCCGCGGTCCCCAGAGCCCCGTCCCCCGGGACTCCACAGTGGAGTGCGACAATTCAGAACTTTCCGAGACATTTTCCGAGTCCACTACGCCGGAGAAAACTGACCATCTACGCGATAGCCACAGTGACACGTCACTAGACGCTCCGGACAATGACGCGGACACTTCATTGGACATCTGTGACGACGACTCCGGACTCGGAAATAAGCCCCGGAAAATTCGTCGGAGTCGAACCACGTTCACAACTTACCAGCTTCATCAACTCGAGAGAGCGTTTGAGAAGACACAGTACCCGGATGTGTTTACGCGGGAAGAGCTCGCGATGAGATTGGACTTGAGCGAAGCAAGAGTTCAGGTATGTCACGTGACTTTCATCATTTTTTTTTCAAATACGTTTTCTTAGGTTTTTAGGAGATGTTTGAAGGGTTTTTTTATTATTGATTTCCCCGTTTTCTACTTTTCCCGTCCTTTGAAGAAAAAATAAATAAAAATCTTTTAAAAAAGCAAGATAAAAAAATATTCCTTTATTGTAATTGCTCATAGGTTCTATCGTCTTTTTTCTTTCTCTAATAAGAATTCAAATTTACTGTTAAATCGAGTTAATCAATCTATACCCTATAGTTGGTCATTAGTAATTAGCTTTACGCACGGCAATAACAAGTCGTTTTAATTAGCCTTACAGCCATGGTGCGTCATTTTTGATATACGCTACTTAACAAAATTAATTGGGGTTTTTTTTTCCATTTTGTATGATCACTAAGATAATTATTTCGTTACTGTATCAATCTCAGTAACTCGAACTTTGGTGATATATTCCGTGTTAAACAAGTGTTCCCATATTTCCTGCATTGATTGAAAATTACCTGCATAATTTAATAAAAAAAACATTTGGTGAACACCAATAAGTTCATGATAATTTATTTGTAAAGAGCACCATGATTTTCTTTTCCCCCCAAATCTTCATTATACAAGACGACGATTGAATCATCGTGAACGTAAACAAAGAATTACACATATAATACCGTACAGAAAGGGATTGACGTGTTTGCTCTAAGTCCATGAGATGCGTTTATGCTTAGCCCTTGCTAGGCTTTCCTCGGGAACGATTTATGCTTTAGTCATTATCAGCAGGGTTTTAAATGTTAACACGTTATCACAGTGTTTGTTCACTTTTGACACGAAAGTTTTGCTTTATTATAAATCCTGGGCTACTGTACAAGGATTAACACCTTGGCATTGCTGATGACAAAGGCTCGCTTCAACACTAGTCACTCCGGGAACCTCTTACCCTAAACCCGTCATACAAATCATACAGAATTTGTCTGGCATACTCGAGAAAATCAATTAATTATAAATGCACCGAATGAAAATGATTCTCCAAAGACAAAACGAAGCTATATCAAACTTTGTTTGCTATTGATGACATTAAGAAAAATAAAAAAAATAAAAAAGCAACAAGAAATAACAGACTTTCTTTTAGTTCATTTTAATATTGTTTTCCATTTGTAAAATATCTGCAGTAATATGTATATTTGTGTATGTCGAAATGTTCCATAAATGAAAAATAAATCTTCAAAACGATTATCAAGCTTTATCCTTAACGGGGATAAGAGTTTGTAATTCCATAATGTTATGCTTGGAAATTAATTTTAATATTTAAAAGATCAAATTAATTCTTTTTTTACTTAACGAGTTATTATGTAAATTACACTTTATACACAACTAAGTGTAAATTCATAGCCGATTTTAAAATGCACGACATTTAAATTTGACTTACAGGTTCTATTGAATAGGAACCGGTCAAAATCTCTTGTTTTTCTCTACGTGTCGTGTTTTTATACTTCAGGATTCGTGTATTTTTAACCACCACAACCATCCATTTACAATTATATTATATCTATTTAGATATAGCTATCACCATCTTCCTCTGTTAAAGTACAAGTAAATTATATTTTCTTTATGATATAGTTATTTCTACCACCTTCCACTCGTAAAGTACAATTATGTATATATATAAAGATAATGCAATGAATAGACCATCTATTACCGTGGACTTTCACACGAAACCCGCATAAATGGTAAGGTACATAAATAAATATAAAAAAAGGAAATGTCTGAAGTTGACAATAACTCTGGAATTTTTGAGCACATTGACCAGTGTAGTCTAATCTGTTGTTTACTTTTCGTTGTAAAGATGTATATGAGTAGAGAAAGCTGGATAAATGAAAAGGTCCGACTTTAAAATGACGGCAACAAAAAATACTTGAAACTGTTTTATTTCTACCCTATCATTAACTCGCCCAAATAACACACCAGGCGTGTCTCAGTGTACTACGGTACTACAGTAGAGGAGACACAGGGGATTCTCGTCTGGGGCATCCTACTGGCAAAGGGTTTAAGTTAAGCATGATAGAATATAACATAATCATACAACTAGCAAGTTCACAATATCAACCTCGAAAACGAACAGAAAATAACAGAAATTAGGGAGACACAAAAGTAAGGAAATTGAAAACACCAGGAACTGGGGAGACACAGAAATAACAGGGAGTCAGGAGACACAAATACAAAGGGATAGAAAAAAAACAGGAATTTGGGAGATACCAAAACAGAAAGTTAGAAAACAACATGAACTGGGGAGACAGAAATATAACAGGGACTGGAGGACACCAAAACAAAGGGATGTTAAAATAAAAACAGGAAAAGGGGAGACACCAAAATAAAAAGACAACAGAAATACAAATACAAAACCAAATACACCATTTAACATAGAATGACGATCCCGTCAATTACCTTAAGAGTAAGCGTTTTTAGCCCCCAGTTATGGCGATACAAGCTGCAAATGAATTGTATTGTTTGAACCAGAACAGTATTGTCTACTTAGCGGCATTCCTCGTGGTGAGTAACCATCGGGGGTGACGAGAACGGCACTTATTGCTGTCTTCTTCGCAACACTCAAGCTGACTAACACTGTTGATTAGGTCGCGTTCACTTTGGTAATATTCAGAAGTATAGCAGAAAAAAAGGATTGGAAGCATAAGTTATTATATGATTTCGATTTTGTGTGGCAGATATGATTTAATCCTCATCACAACTGCAGTAATCTAGGTATTTACATAATCTAATTCACTCCCTTTCTTATTGCTAAATTAAAAAAATACTCAAATATAATTTGCTCAGGTACATGTACCATAATTTATTTATTTCAGTGGTCAAACTTCAGACAACAAAAATAAGCAACGTGTTTTTCATTGGAAGTGGTAACTTCAATCAGAATGGTCATTCAGTGTATCCTTGTGTACATGAAAAAAATACAGTTAAAAAATATAGTTAAAAAATATAACCTGATATTCGATTTACAATTGTAATAGCGTATATGAACAAAATGACATTGCTTTATGAGGCCGCATATAATTGGTAATATAACACACAATAGTTTTCTTGGGTCTTCTCAGGTTTTTACCAATTTACAGACAACTGATTAAGATTTTCCTTAACTTACCTGTTTATTTATGTACTTTTGTGAATGAAAGTAATCAAATTTGTTCAATATCTGAAACTTGAAGCAATATTTCCGTGCATTTTATTTTTGAAATGACGTGTAACTTTAACAAAAACCGAATTATTGATCCGATATACAAAGTAATGGATTATTTAAGTCGGCATGTTAGAGAGCGTCTATTGTTAGCGAATTCAGAATTGATTTTACTGTTGTTACATTATCATCCGTCACAATAAATTCACGGAATCCATGCAGTAATCTCTCAGTTAAAAAAACGGAGTTACACTTTCGTTAATGCAATAATTAAATGCTATCATTTTAAAACATTCAACATTCATCATATCAAAATTGGGTAAGTAAAACTTGAGTTATATTTCGACAGTTAACTTAAAAGAATATTGTAGATAAATAAATGTTCAGGATGGATGAGTTTTATAACTGATGGTAGATATCGCAGCGTTATACTAAATAGGACAACAATATCACAAAAGCAACGTTTACTGAAAAAACTTCACTATTAACAATAGAAGACAAAATGTTTATTCGTTCAACCACAACAAGCAAATATTAGCACCTGCTTTATAATTGATTGGTTAACAAGCCTATTAGACGCGAATAATTTAAAAACATCTTCTACAATAATGTAGCAATACAGCATCGATATATTATATAACAGTGTAGTTGATTTCATCAATTTACAAAATAAATACGAAGTAGCATATGTTAACATCATTGTAAGTAAGACTCCTAATCAGATCCCTAACTCGATGAACGCGGTTGTGTCAGAGGCGCTGATTGACACGCAACAGACAAAAAGGAACAATGATGTTGATTAGGTAGTAGACGCAACTGTGACAAGAGTATTCACCAAGTCGGAATGTTTTAAACACCTACACAGAAGATTGTCCACATTTTAGTTTTGTTCCCTGACCAGTGTCCGATCATTGTTAATGAAACAAGCGCTGTCCACCTGTGCTGGTTCACACACACATTACACACCCCACATTTCAGTAATTACATAGATGGGTTTAATACGTTTCTTTGTTATTGTCGAGTGCGACAAAATTGGCGGAACGGAATTAAAGGTATCATAGAGCTAAGGCGAGACCCTCCCACCAGGAGGGGCCGGCGAACAAGTCCCCAGATCATACGACAATGACCGTCATCGAGTCCCCCCGCAGTTGTCTGTACGGGAGGCAAAGAGCTTAACAGGAATTACCGCGGACTTACTTGTAAATTAAGAGGATGGAATGTCCACGAGCTATTAGGGAGTACCTTACTAATCGCTTTATGTGAAAAGAATTAAATTTTGTAAAGTTCTCAGCTTGATAGTAATCATCGGATTAGTAATATCGCGGTGACAATTCTGTGAAAGTAGCAGAAATGTGGGGTTTACATTTAAGTATTAACAGTAGGAATCTAAGTGCAATAAGACAGTAAAGGTCGTCAATTATGTCATCAGCACATAAATAAATTGTTATTAATAATTTCAAACTCGATGCAGGTTAATTTTTTTTGTTTTTTTCATTTTCAAATTATTATTGCCTTATTGTATTAAGTACGTCACTGCTGGACACCTGCTCCAAGCGAAACAAATCTAAGTCATCTCCTTCAAAGGTGTTAATCATGATCGAGGCTTGAAAATGCCTAACTGTTGGAAACTTTGTACGCTTGGCCATTCATATTACAGTATCCTCATCGCAATAATTAACACACAATTATCATCAAACAAGCTCATGTTAGCAGCGGTTAGGTGAGCTAGCCGACGATTAGTCCAGGACAAAGCGGTTCTGGTTACTAATTAGTCTATATGACAGTAATTCCAGAGTGTGAACACGACATTACTTTATTGACGCTCCCATCAACGCCACTTAATACCTGTCAGTACAGACTTAAATAATCCCATGACTGTCTGTAAGAGGAGATGTTAAACCCATATTACATGTGTAATGGAAGTCTGTTATATAAAATAGGTTAGCATCATAACGCAAAATAATCGAATATAAAAACGACATTTTACTAAACAAGTCACAAGAAATGTTAATTCAGCTCGAATATAATTTACAATTAACACAAACTCTCAGGAGCTAACCAAAAGCATTAATTTAAAGAACTTGTATAGGAAACACAAATAATATCTTACAAAATTGATATCATCTTAAAAAAGGAAACACAAATAGGTTTATTTAATGCGAATAACAGTGTAATTTAGAAATGAAACAACTTAATAAAACCTTGACTAAGTTCTGCTAAATACACATACTCAATCACATAAAAGACCCGAGCAACAAAGTGAATTTAGAAATAATGGATTATGTGAAGTTGCAGCACTTATTATTCAGTACAAAAATCAAAATATAAATAAGTTGATAAAAGGCTGATAAACAAACTTAAGATAGGAAATACACTCAAATATTCAACTAATTTCATCATTAAATTTTGGCAACGACACACATAAAATATTTAAAGACAATTATAACAGATTTATTTAAAACTTTTATACGTATTACGTATTTCTTTATTGAAGAAAGGTTATAGCATTGATATTAAACTGTTAATATGTAGTTACTGTCTTGATATTTAAGAAAGCCTTTTATCTTACAGTGTCTTGTATAATATATGTTATTTCAAAGGAACAAAATTAACAACTTATTTCAAATAACGAGGTTGTGTTAAAATAAAAAGTCGAACCATGTAAGTACGCATGGTTTCTCTTTTTTTTTTTTTTTTTTAATTGTATGTTGCTTATTCCTTATTCCTTACAGATAATGATAATAATGCTAAACCAAAACCGACAGGAATCGATAACGGGATAAACACGTCAATGTAAGACCAGGGTAAATCCCACAATATCTTTTTGATACTACTACACCATCATTAAATATATTGAAAAATTACTTACTTGAAGACGAGATGACATGATAGATAATACAAAAGCAAAAAATAAATAAAAATAAATAAACAGACCAAAAAAAACCCGTGGAAAATAATAAGTGAAACGCATGCTTCCTTTGTTTGCGTAGTGCTCAGAATCAATTCGATTTATGTGCAATCTATTTTAATCTATTATCTATGTTTAAAACACAATTTTAGCAGGTTTATTTTTTACAATCGATATTGACGAAATGAAGTCAAGAATTCTAAATATAAAAACACGAAGTGTTGGAAAATGCTATAAATCAGAAAAGGTCACTAGGTCGTTATGTGCTTAATGTTACATTAATATCAATACAGATTATATAGTTCCACTTAAACCTGACCTCTAAAACGGGTTTAATTCGTGACCTACAAGGATCATATAGATTAATATGTATGTATCTATATATAATTACTTGTACGTAGGAGTTATATTTTTCCCCAGATTTGTAATATTTTCCTGTTTCTGAAAATAGGCCTAGCTGTAATTCAAACAGTTACCAGCTTAGAAAAAGATTAAATAGTGCCCGTGTGATCGGTACAATGAAAAAAGTAAACACACTGGAAGACAGAGTTGCTAGCGCTTTTTATATTGGCTTTGTATGATAAATTTTATCCAAAGCAAATGCTTCAAATAATATTATTAATATATTGTTGATATACAGTACATTGTATATAAACTGCACAAAATTGTCGTTTGTTATAAAAAAAAATACAAATATTGTCTGACGTCATATCAATATATACGGAACAATCAAAAGCGCCTTACAGGACGTCTTTAATAATTCCACATTTATTCAGTAAGATAATAAATGCACATTTAACCTGAATAGTATGTAATTTAAGCTGAAAAGACACTTCTGTTTCACAAATATTGTTTTTTGATCAATATCAATGACAGCTTTCAAAATTTATAGAAAAATAGTTCTTCAAATAACAGCAAAAAGTGTTTTAATTATAAAGAAATATTTTGAAGTATCATCTGAATTATGTTATTTTTCTTATTTTTGTTTTACTTATATTATAGTATTTAACTGTTCAACGTATGCATAGCTTTTGTTATAGTGTGCACGGTTGCTATTCAGTAAATATTTGGAACAGTTTGACATGTTCTCTGATAAAACTCGTCTATAATTGATGATATTGTACCATGTTTATAAAACCCTCCAGTAATTTATCATATTATGTCGTGTAGTGGAGAATCTGACGAGTTAATTGATTGTGCTGCAGGACCGAAATTGGTTGCGAGTTGAAACAAAAACTAATTTCCTGTAGAAATGGGAACCTAAGATATTAACGTGACATCGGCTCTCCCTCTCAGTAAGTCGAATGAGATAAAAGATATAAACAAGATCTATCTAAGAATAGGATAGGGCCAGGAGCTTGGTTTGATGCATCGTTTGACAGGAAATTAACCAAATTTGGGAGATACTTCAACTGTATAAGCAATTTTGCAGTTAACCTTTTTTGCCTGTGGCACTCAATAAAAAGATTCATAAACAAATGAGTCTGTTAATTACAATAAAATTGGGCAATCAGGCGCATGATATTGGTGTTTAGACCTAATAGCGCACAGTGCCAAAGGCCAACGAGCCCGGCGTTTGATGCTGACTGGGACTGCTGTGGCTGTTCTCGGCTGTAGCAGCTCCTCTCGTTCTATCACAGTCTCGCTGTATATATTCTTATGTGATCGATATAAGATAACATCTCCTAATTTAACCGTTTTGAACTTCTTTGAAAACAATCAATTCCAATGATAGTTCTAGATTAAAATGAATATCTTATTCAAGTTGAAGTAAAATATGTTTAAACTAGACTGTAATAAAGGTAAACAATAGATGGCCTTCTTTTAAGATTAATAGACAAATATTATAATGAACTTACTATTTTGTATTTTATTAAGCGCAACACATTTATTTAGCACTCATTTAGCACAACACATAGAAAAATAGGTGATGAGCAGAAAGTTAACTTAATTGTCGTTGGAACACTTTGTTCGTTTCCCCACAAAAAAGTTCTAGTAAATAGCTCTGTAATTACAAACGTGTTCCGTGCCAACATTATATCACGAACAACATATTCTATATTCGGTTACCAAATCAAACCAATAGAACTAAAGCAATGTGACAATCCTTAATTAGGACTTTTATCATTTTTCTTTTAAAAAAAATTGTTGTTGTTTTTTTTCTATAAATTTTCATCGGAATTTATATTATGTATCTTCAGGTATGGTTCCAGAATCGGAGAGCAAAGTGGAGAAAAAGGGAGAAAGCTCTTGGACGCGAAAGTCCGAACTTCCTTCAAGGAGATACCGGACCTTCTCTTGGAGACCTGCCTCATATCCCAACCGGAGGCGGCTATCCGTCACCATCTGATCCCTACTGGTCAAGCCGCCTGACCCATCTCACAGGGGTAAATCCTATGATGGCCTTTCATCAGAACAATATCAGCAGTATGGCAGCAGCTCATTATATGCAAGGCAAAATGCCGTTCGGAGGACTTCTAGCTAACTATGTCGTGAACACAAATTCATTCGGGATACCTGGAATTTTACTAGGAGGAGGAATGCCTGGGGTACCGTCGTCATCATTATTGTCCCCTTCGTCGTCACGATTCAACCTTGACCCCGAATCCCTTGACCTGCGAAGGTCAAGCATAGACAAACTTCGTTTAAAGGCCAAAGAACATTCTGCTTCTACTGAAGCGGCAGATTTATCTCCATAGATGATGCTGTTTTCATATTTCAACTATCATCATATTGGCGATGAATGCTGTAAAATATTTTAAGCGCATATGTTGCGTTGTGCTTTTATAATGAACAATTCATAGTGTATTGGTAATGAATACGTCACTTGCCAATATCGAGTAGATTGATAACGTCATGACGTATAGTTATACAACAATATCACGTCATGATGTATAATTACACGCTAATATGCCGTCATGATGGATGGTTGAAGTATCACGTTTTGTTGCATTATGATAAGACGGTACTGTTAACTGCACTATCCTATTTCGATACTTCGGTATTACATGCCTAGGAAATATTTTAAAAATAATCTAGTCATTTGTCAAAATGTATAATTGTATTATGTTTTCTGCATTTTTATACTTATCCAATTTTATATCAAACAAAACGTGTTGCAAATGTGCTATTATCGTATGAAGGCGTAATAATGAAATTAATTCATTTCCATGTTTTACTTTTTTAATATTTTGAAATATTTCAAATAGCTCAAAAAGTACGCAGTTTTTTTGTTTGTTTAAAATCTTACCTAGTTATATGACATTAAATTGAAACCCAACCACAGGACCTATTATTACAGTCATTCCTCAATGATAAGGATACATTTCAATCGTGTTTATATAAGTTGAAATTATTTTATAATTATTTGGAATAGTGTTTGACATCATTTCAAATGATTTTTGTCAAAAGAAAGACAGTTCTGATGTTACTGATAATATATGACGATAGGAATCAAATGATAACTTTTTATATCGGGGTACGTATATGATTGTGACGACTGTATCAAGATACTCATCACAACTGTTATATTGGGATAAGTATCGTATCGTGGTATATGGTATACTTATGTATCTAATCGTGACCACTGTGTCGGTCGGGATTCATGTGGTATTTTGATGGCTGTATTCGTATTCATATCTTATAGTGACTACTGTGTCAGGATTAAATATCGTATCGTGTCTGACGTGTCCGAATACGTATCCTTATGTCATTACTGTATTGTATCATGGTTTCTGTCCTGGGGACGTATTGTAACACAAAATCAATATCGCGATATGTATCATATCGTTAACATTGTATCGGGATACATATCTTATTAGGACAACTTCATCTTTTGGAATACATATATAGATCAAACGAATATCAGCGTTTCTTTAAGAAATACATAAAGATGACTTCTAAATTTATTTATTTTTCTTAAAAAAATGGTAAAATAATAGAAAGTTTCAGAAAGAAAAATAAATTACAATGCAATTTCTAATTTTTCTAGTGGTATCATCATGTCTTCCCTAGCATGTTAAATCGTTTTGATAAAAGTCTGATACGTTATCTCGATTCATTTTCTATTCCAAAATCATAAACGAATTTATCAATATGTTTGGCCCTAATTACAGCCTTATTTACATGTATGATAATGAGCGATTGTTAATTTTACCACGTGGCTAATCATTGAAATTAAGAGTATTTAAACAAAACTGTTTTACCCTTTAAAGCAGAATATAGACTTGAAGAGAAAATACAGCGAATCTCTTCGCTAAAACTGTGAATGACGCAATAATTCCATGAAGACGCCATTCCATGATGAGGCAAAATGATTGTTTTAATTGTTGAATTATATACAGATTCGTTATGTATTGACGGTGTTAAGTGATTGCATTAAAATAATGAATGTTGTAAATCTATCTAAGGTGTCTTTGTTATCGCATACAAAACTGTGACTGAACTTTCATGAATTTCTAAGTGTTCCAAACAAACATCCACATGGAGTCCAGTATTGTTCCTGTCTATATACACGTACATTCAAATACTAACATTTGAACATAGTAACATTTATATATAAACACTAAGACAATCATTTGTACAGGCGATTATAACATATGTATCTAAATAAACACTTACGAGTTTCACTGTCACTGATAATAACGTTATAACAGTAAGGGTAACATTGGTACAAGGTAATAGTAACAATGATATATAAAATCAAGCAGTGACATCTGTGTAGGATGATAGTATCGTTATACATTTTATCACATTCTTGTTGAATCTTGTTAAAGTGTTACAAGCAATTTTCAGACCATGAAAAACAACGTTCTGTATTGCACATGTGCAATGAAAGCACTCATTTACCTACTAGCCGGAACTACATTTTATGGGAACCCCCTTGTCATGGCGAACTGAAAAGTTCCCGGTATTTGCAAAAAATATCAAAGTTTATAAAATCTTTGTATCGATCTCTACCAAATACGGAAGGTATGTGATAAAAGCAAGACCACACACTTGTGTTTTTCTAACGAATCAGAAAGCACTCATTTATTGCGCGGACGTATATATTCCCTCGTTGCGCTCCACGCACTCGTGAATATATTCGTCCGCGCAATAAACACGTGCTTTCTGATTCCTTAGAAAAACTCAAGTGTGTAATCTTGCATATGTATGTAAACACTTAAAGTAACCTTGGTACAGGGTGATAGTAATATTTACACATAACAAGTTATAGTGACATTCGTACAAGGACATATTAACCTATACCTATATAAATATATAAACACTAAGAGAATAATCGGTACAAGGTGATACTTACTTTTATATATAACAAGTTATCGTAACATTGGTACAAAGCGAGAGAACCATCTATGCAAAAACTCTATATGTAACTCCAGTACAAGGCGACAGAAACATTTATATATAAACACTAAGAGTAACATCGATACATTGGGAAGGTAACATTTATATATAAACACTAAGAGTAACATCGGTACATTGGGATGGTAACATTAATATATAAACACTAAGAGTAACATCGGTACATTGGGATGGTAACATTATTATATATAAACACTATGAAGAACGATGAAATGAAAGAACAACCGTACAGGAGGACGGACATAAGAATCGGAGGTTTATCTGAGGCAGGAAGAACTGAGGAAGATCCTGTTTCCCTACATAAGATAAAACAGAGGAATGGAAGATTTATTACACATGGCTAAATACGGTAACAGATGCAGGGTAAATGTGAAATGGGTGCGATTCTGATGTTGAAAAAAAGGGGAAATATTAACACTGACTCTTTTATATAGCATAATAAATCTACTGCTATGGTTGAGGCGTGTTGGAATACTTGAGAGGGCGATATTTATAATTTGGCAAAGAGTTTTAAAATTTTTAAATATTTGTTTTATCAAATAATATTTTCTACTTGTGTAAAGTGACTTCAAATGGTTGAGGTGAATCAACATCATCTATTTCAAAAGTGCTCTACATAGGTAAATAGTCTGTCGTAACGGATTTTGTTTAGATCCCCCAAAAAAAGAACAAAAGAGAAAAAAGTATGGAAATCAACACCATTTTTAGCTTAAATGGAGCAGCTAATGACTAAAATAAACTTCCCTTACCTGGAGGGTGTGACAAAGAATTCTCCAAACCGAGGGGTGATGCTTTTTGGTTGTCTAACCCGAGGGTTGGATATTTTTCTGTGACACCCTTAAGGAAGGGGATGATTTTTTTTCTCCCATCCTATTATTTCAGTTACAACTCCACCGACAGTAGTGTAAACAAAAACACATGCGGGATATGAATATCGTCATTCACTTTTGATGACACGACGCAATCTCCCTCTAGGGGGTGACAAGCTGATCTTTCCCGGCTAAAATGGGAGACACACCAGTGAAGGGTGGGAGGATAATATAATCTCCCCTACCTCGAGGGTATGACAGAGAAATCCCCAAACCGAGGGGTGATATTCTTGATTGTCTTACCCGAGACTTTGCCGAGGGTAAGACATTCGGTAATATCATCCCGAGGATATAACAGGATATCTGGCAGAGATGCAGTCGGGAAAGGTGCCGATTGGAATTTTTCGATCTTTAGTTATTGGTAGGCTAAATAAAGTGGTAAAATATAGATGATCAACAGTTTATCGCTTGTCAGTTTCCTCCCACTCGCAATGAAAAAAATCTGACGACAAAACTGGTAAAACCTGAAAACACGGTGTGATAAATTATAGAAATATTGTTTCTAATGTTGACAGTCTCCCAAGTAGGTTAGATGAATTAACAGCCAGAATAATCATTTAGAAAAAAAAATGATTCAAGTAATAGGAGATAAACCCCAAACAATAAGAGATTCTTGCCAAACAAGCGTGAGCTTGCTTTAGATGGTTTCGATTTAATTGTTACAACCCAAAAGCGTTTCATAGGGAAGTAGATATCTACGTAAGAGACAATTTTAAGGCTGTTGCAGTGAATATATGATCAACATTTAAAGAGAGTATATTGGTTAAGGTCAAGCTTTCGTTTAAAGATTGTTTATTGATAGAGTGCGTTTCCAAAAGCCCGACCACTGACAAAGATAATGTGGAGGAACTTTACAGATTACTTAATTCAGCATGGTCGATAGACAACGAATATTTCCACTTACTAACATGTATGATGGGGGACTTCAATCTTCTTAAAGTAAACTGGAATTCACTTTCATCAAAAACGATCAGAGAGTGAAACTTTATAGAATATTTTAGAGATAATCATCTAACTCAACACACAAGATATTTCACAAGATAGAGCACAGGGATCGAGCCGAGTGTCCTCGACCTGGTAATAACACGAGATATTTCACAAGAATGAGCACAGGGATCGAGCCGAGTGTCCTCGACCTGGGAATAACACGAGATATTTCACAAGATAGAGCACAGGGATCGAACCGAGTGTCCTCGACCTGGTAATAACACGAGATATTTCACAAGATAGAGCACAGGGATCGAACCGAGTGTCCTCGACCTGGTAATAACACGAGATATTTCACAAGATAGAGCTCAGGGATCGAGCCGAGTGTCCTCGACATGGTAATAATACGAGATAATTCACAAGATAGAGCACAGGGATCGAGCCGAGTGTCCTCGACCTGGTAATAACAAATGAAGAGGAAATGGTAAGAGAAATTATCCATGAAAGTCCTCCTGGTAATAGCGATCGCTTCGTTTTATAGTTAAAATTCATACGCTATAGTCAACAACAAAATAATACCATGAAGCGTCGAATATACAGTATAATAAAGAAAATTACGCTGGTATGGTGACCGATCTAGATATAGTTTTTGATCAAATTTTGAATGGGGACCCGGACTCAATACATTACAAGTTTATACAACTTCTTCAAGCCTGCATGGATAAACACATTGTAATGAGCAATTGATCTAAACAAACAAACCGGAAAAACAGGGGATATCTTCCATTAAGTGTGAAAATCAGACAAAGAAATTAACAGAAAGACTGGGCGTGGCAGCGGTACATGGAAACGAGTTTGAACTTAAATACCGGGAATACACAGAATTAGGAAATCAAGTGAATGATATGCTGGAAAACTGGGCGCGAAATGGGAAAAGACATTGCTGGAAATACCAAAGATAGCTCTAAGCGATTCTGGAAATATGTCAACTTGAAGAGAAATTGAAGACGGCCATTCCACATTTAAAAGGCTTGAATGGCGATGAATAAAAAACGCAGTAAATAATAAGGATAAAGCGGACTCGTTTGCCAGTTTTGTTATGGTTTTTGTTTTGCAGTGTATTAACGGAGGAACCACCAGGAGAAATATCAACAATGGAAAGAAAATGTAATGAACACTTTTTTGAAGAAATACACTGCACAAAAGAAATTGTTTGTAAACTGTTGAAAAAGCTTTATGGCAGCAAATCACAAGGTCCAGATCAGATTGATTCTAAGGTTATGAAAGAACTTTATTCCGTTATAAACAAACCTCTTAGTATCATTTTCAATAGATCACTACATGATAGTATAGTACAAACGGCAAGGAAGGAAGCGAACATAACAGCTATATCAAAAAGTTATCAAAATCAGATCCAGGGAATTACCGACCAGTAAGCTTTACTTGTATTGTGGGGAAAACTCTTGAAAGAATAGTACGAGATGATGTTGTCAAATCTATGGAGACAAACAATTTGTTAAGTAACAAACAATTTGGATTCATCGTTATTGTATAAATAATTTTAATTTATCCAAATAACTACACATAACCTATTTATTTTAATGCAACAGGCCATGGAGTCCACTTATAAGTTTGATTACAAATTAAAGCACACAATGAAACAAAACATGTCAAAACATCACAGACAAAGTGAAGATTAAGAAGGCATTCATGCATGAAAAATGAAATATCGGCTGACTACGGGGAGTGGATTCAAAACTAGTCTGCTTCATTTTTATTTTACAATAATTTAGTTATACGCCTTCTATTAGAAAGAAGAATGCGAAATTTAAAATTGGTATGACACCCTAAATTAAAACACCGTTTTCCCTTAAATTGATAAGACCCTTATTCGGTTAAAAACACACCTTACCATTTGACATAAGGAGATAGTGAGAAATCACTTGATTTGTTCTATAAGATATGGAACGCCAAACACAGTATGTACACACCTCAACAGGAACAATTGATCTAATCGCGTCCTTGTTTGAAGTTTAAAAGACGGTTACAATTGTAATAACCGCAGTCTTCTTTATAAAGAAATCAGAGTCAAATTTTGACTTAAAACATGAAATGAAGATTTTTTCTCTGAACTCTGTCTAAGTGATATCCTACCAATGTAGTTCGATACGGACACCACATTTTAAATGTATTTTCTTCTTTGTTTCTGACCACACTGATATAAAAGGAACGGATAACACATA